ATCATTACACATGAACGCCTTGCAAACAAATTTAAGTGCCTTACTACAAAAAATCCACTTGAAATGCATTTTACTAATTACACTGATATATAGATAAATGAAGTAACCCAAAGGGAAAAAAAAAAAATTCTAGTTTCAGTCCCTCCTCACTTCTTTCCCAATGCTTTGGCCTTTTCTCTAAAAATCTAGTCTTCACTCCCTCAAGTTTGCCTTTATGGATCAGTTCATCTTTCCAGGCCTTGGCACTCGGATGGTGCTTCTTTCAGTGCCACCCAACCAGAGCGTGACACCCATCTGCTGCTGAACAGCTCTCCTCAAATGAGGTCTGCAAACAGCCTTTCCAACACGTGGAGCCACACACGGGCCACACTGCCTCAACAAAGAAATGGCACACTTAAGCTCTGCTGTCCTTCTGTACTGTTGGCAAGGATGCAGTAGAGCCCTTCCTCCACTCTGACAGCTGCGCATTTCTTGCCAGTGATAATGCTCCTGGCTAGCAGCACAAGAGGAGCCAGTTCTGCAGGGAAGCACAGTAACAGGTACTTCCTAATGCAATGTTTTGGGTTTTCTCAGTCCAGGCAAGGTGGACAAGCAGCATGGAGGGAGATAACAGGATTTGCACAAGAAGTAATTACAGTCAAGGGAGGACCAGAGATTTGCTTAGGAACAGAGACCATAGCAGGTAACTACTGTCCCCAGACTAGTGCCAGAGGTTATGTTACAGCAAAAATGAGCAAGAAAGAATACCATAGTGTATTACAAAACCACGTAAGATAGTGGGCATTTCATATTGCTTTCAGAAAAATGTTTTTATGCCAAAGAACAAACCATAATTCCTGCAACATACAAAGAGTATAAAAGGTTCATTTTAAATTGGAATGAATAATTGTACTAAAACTGATACCATTTGGTAAATTTACAGAAGTGGTTTCTATCCTCCCCAGGAGAACCAAACCCACCCTTGGGTGCATTACTGGTGTTCAGCAGAGCCAGCACTCTTCCATCCACAAACCAAGCCCCCAGAGATCACGTCCCTAAGATCAATAATGTTGATTTTGAATTATTTTGATGAGAATGCTGAATAGCACTTCAGCATTTATGTAGAAGTAGGTGTTTTGATTTAACTGATACCATAGCAAGGATATTTCCCTTAAGTCATTTGGAAACCACCTGAGTGGCAGTAATGAACATAAAATAACATAGCATTTGACAAAAGAAAAATGAAATCCTTAAGTGTAGAAAGAGATATATGAATGAACATAGTTAGATATTTTTAGGCAAAGAAGTCATAATTTCTCAAAAGTCACTTAAATTGTTACAGGACAGAGTATCTCAAAAGAAATAAGTTGGTCTACTTATAAGCTAGATCAACTGCTAGATTTCCAACGTACTATTCATTTTCCCAAATCAGATGACCTGTTTTGTAAGCTGAGAGGAAGAAAAGCATCGCTGTGCCTACCCCTCTGCAAATAGGAGTTGAAGCCCAGTCATGCTGAAGGCACATGGACCACAGCAAGAAACTATGCAAGCTGTCAGCTTTGGATACGGTGCAGTTGCTACAGATTATGTCTCTATCTAAGAGAGGAACGAGTGCAGTACAAGACATGGCAAAGAAAGAAAAGAATACAAAAGTGAAACCACACAAGGAAAGCATGCCTACTTAGAACTCAGTGCTGAAGTGGACTGCATAGTGGGCTAGAAGCAGCAGCTTGTTTTATTTGTAGCTGTTTGTTAAAATGTATCCCCACTCTGCATTACAGTGAAAAGTCAGTTGGCAATACTGTAATTCCTCAGAGTTATTGTATCTAGAACAACACAGCTCCTACACTGACTGAGATCACCTAAGCCAAGATGTATAATTACAAAGTATTTCTTAAAAGCTAATCTCTACCATTTGAACAACCTACATCTTGCCTTTCCTCCTCACCCTCCAGCTTCTTCAGACAGTACCACACATCATGGTCCAGATACTTCAGAAGTCAATGTTCCCAGTGGAAAGTTCTCTCCATTAGGGGCTGATTTGTGGTCATTTCAACGCTTGCTTATATTTAACAAACCAGAAATGACAGAGTTCTTAGCTGGATACCAACTGTACCGGTACTGTTTCAGTGATTATCACACCGAAGGCATTTAGAAGCTAATAACACAGCACACACAAATGTTTTGTTATCATTCTGAATGCGGACCATCTTACTGCATCCCTGGTTTTTCTATGGTACCTTCTGAGACTGTCAACACATATCCAGTGCTTTTCAGATGCCCTCAGGGAACTTTGTCCTAAAACAGATGGAAAGCTAAGCTTGACAGTTTTTCTTTCTTTATTTACTGGGTAAAGTAGCCACAGCAACACTCTGGCACCATACTTAGGTCCTTTTTAGAAAATATGCATGAAACAGAAGTTCCTACTTCACCTCTTCTAACCTAAGGCTCTTGTCTCAAGCTTCAGCTTCTCAACTTAATCCAACATGGCACCAGACCAACTCAAGCCAGCATGCTCCTTTCATTTCTCCACTTGAGCCCTACCCATGGAGGAAGATGAGTAGAACGTGTAACTAGAGCTGAAATACTTAAAAGCCCAGATTCTTTTAAAGGCAATTCAGCATTGCATCCTAGAGTTATGCAGCTGCCTGGTTCCACAGACACCAAGAACATACCCCAGGATGGAAAGGCCTCTCATGGCAGCCCAGCAGCCTGGCCTGCAACTCCAAGTGTTCTGGAAACACATAAAACACAGCGGTGCAATACAAAGAAAATGGAGTCTCATCATCTACCCTAATGAACTTAAACTAATATCCCTATGCTAGATAATTAGGACCTAGAAATGTCCTGGAATAAGTTCCTTGGTTTGCACTGACCTAATTATGGATAGACTTGAGAAGTACCATAGGAGATTTTTGCTCCTGCAGCAAGTAGTGAAGTCCTATCAGATGTTTCCACTTCATGGAGTACGGATTCACTGTTGAGTTTTATAATCAAGAAAATACAGCATTCTCTCTTGTGTTTAGTACCAGCCTGGGCTTTCACAGCACTCTGTGGAATCTACTGACCTAGTAGATTATTGAGCACAGCTGTTAGGACATCCATGCATCACACAGTGATATTACAGGGGTTCAAATGCATGACAATGAAAAAAACAGATATTTAGAGATGAGAAACAAAGCCAGCCTGGTAGTACCTGAAATCTCGCATGCTGCTCCTGTAAGAATGCTACTTGAAAATGTGGGATAAACAAGGACGTGAACTTTTGCAGAGAAAAAGCATACAAGGTAGATCAAGTGTGCTAGCAATTTTTGCTTTTGCAGTATATCACTTTCAGACCTTCATGCCGATAGTTAGGTTAATTATTTATAATCCCATAACTTATTTTGAACTAAGCAAAACCATAACTTTTTCCAGGTTTTGTAAAAAAGAACAAAATGCACTCTGAAGGGTGGTTTTATGGTCATACAAAGGAACAGAGGAAAAATGCAGGCAAGTGCCAAAAGGGGATGATGATGCAATTCTCCTGACTGCCTCCCTGCTTGCAAGCACTCACTGATGAAAAGCTCGACATGAGCCAGCAGAGCATGCTTGCAGCCCAGAAAGGCAACCATATCATGGACTGCATCAAAAGCAGCATGGACACCAAACAAAGGAAGTTGATTGTTCACCTCTACTCCACTCTCCCAAGACCCTGCCAGCAGTGCTGAGTTTGCCTCTAGGGATCCCACCACAAGAAAGATGTGGAGCTGTCAGACTGAGTCCAGAGAAGGCCACAGGGATTAACATAGGGTTGAAGCACCTGTCCTACAAAGTGAAGTTGTTAAGTGGAGAAGTGAAAGTTCTGAAGAGACCTTAGGCAGCCTCCCAGTAAGTATATAAAGGGGACCTGCAAGAAAGCTGCAGAGGAACTCATCGCCATGGAGTGTAGTGATGGGACAAGAATAATGGCTTTAAACTGAAAGAAGATAGATTTAAGTTGGGTAACATAGAGATGCTGTAGATGTCCCATCCCTGGAGAAATTCAAGGTCAGGTTGGATGGGGGTCCTGGGCAACTTGATCTTGTGAAAGGTGTCCCTGCCCAGAGGGTTGAAACTAAATGAGCTTTAAGGTCTCTTTCAACCCAAATCATTCTGTGATTTGACAATTTGCGCAAGCTCTGTGAGCCAAACAAAAGAAAGGTGACCTTTTCAGCAGGACCACATCCCTGACACTGATTCTGATTCTCAGCCCACCAGGTCTAGCTAACTGGACCAGGACTGTAGTTTCAAATACTTTGGACAAGAATACTACCTTTCACCATCTGTAAGACTTTATCTATCCTTCTCTCATCTCTTCCTTGCTTTCTCCGCAGAAGCACTACAGGCATATATAGAAAACTGGATCTGATAACTGATCTGAATTAAAACTAACATTGTCTTAAAGTTCAAATATTAAACCTAAAATCCTAAGACTTACTACAACCAGCACTTAATTTTATGTTCAGCTTCAATTCTCCAGTTTGCACTTGTTGACTATTTAACTGGATTTTTGGCCTTCAGAAGGCCACATTTCCCTATTTTTTTTTTCCTGAAATTCTTTATCAACAGGCTTGAAATATCTCATTTCATTAGAATTTCAAAAAAAGCTTCAGAAATCATCAATAGTCTTCATGGCATAAGAAATAACATGCCTATCCCCCAAAACTACACTTTTGCTCCACACCTTAAAAACAACCACTTCAAGTCAGATTTACAATCCTAGACATTCACTGCTTAGCTGCTGACTTACAAATTTATATTTTTTCCTTTCAGATTTAGGCTAGAAGTTGATAAAAGCAGGAAAAAAAAAGTACACAGGAACATGGCTCTTTTCCATATTTTGAATAAATATATTCAATATATGCTCTTAAATAAATACACAATGAAACACATGGCATTGAACGCATCATGAAAATGTCCACATGACTTCTCTCTTTTAAGAGATACTAGATAATTTCTGGATATCTTTTCCTACGTAACATTAGTACAAAAAAACTTACCCCTTGGCGTCCTTGGAACTGAATTGAAGGTTGAGAAGGAACAAGATCCTGCAAGAGAAAGAAAACAAGCAGAATGTAAGCAAAACTGCAAATCTCCATACACTGGTAAAAGTTATTTTGCTACACAAATTAAACACTTGTGGTAGATTCATTTACAACAACCAGCCTACATCCAGAGGCCATATTATGATGCGGAGCCGCTGTGTAAGCCAGGCCAGAGCTCCTGCAAGCTGTACCCTATGCAGAGCTGAGGAGTTCAAGACCTGATGTTTTGTTAGAATACATGGGCACTACAGGGAGAGAATGGGCAAGGAAATTAATGGTTTGTATTGCTGGCAATGAAGGGAAGAAAAACTCCCCTACGTGCGACTGAAAAGAGCCCCAAGAGCCCTGCTCTTTCCCACTCCCAGACTCTGCCTTCACAGGCCAGCCACTCAAGGTTTTGGAAGGTGCTTATTTTCCAAAGAGCCTACTTGGTAACATTTTTACATGCATTTGAGCATCTGTCTTTTCTACTCCGCAGTTCAGCTAATCACTTAGAGTAAGTTTTACCAATGAAAAGATTCATTGTAACCAAATAAACATCAAAAAAAATAGGGCTCCCCCAAACAGTCTTCACTTTCACAGTAAGGAATCTACTAAGAGAAATATGTAAGAGTGCCAGAAACAACAAGAGCCACCTCTAGCTCGTCTCTATAATTTCACAGCAGTAAGCGCAGCCTCTTCCTGAATCACAGCGACGGAAGCATGCTGCACCAATTCTGTGCTCACATTACAGCTCATGAAGACTTACAGATGTTTTTAGGGCAGGGGACCAAGAAGCTTGCTAGTTGAAAACAACTGCTCTTTGTCGCAGGCTGGCTTCTGGTCAGATCTTCTCCTTGACATAGTTCAATGCACAACATCGAAACACCACTGTCAGCAGGAGCACACTGATAAGAATATCCTATTTAGCAGCAATACTGTGCTCAGCTTTACTGAACCCTGAAATTACGCTGCAGAACAGAATAACATATGGGCTCTGTGCTGACTAGTATAACTTACCAGGATTTTATAGAGCGTTAGTCAGCCTCCTGCCAACATTTACACTGAGAATCGTACCAAAGGATAAAATACTTATTTGTTCAGATTTTACTCCAGAAAAGAAAGTTTTTATAGAGTATAAATTGAGGTGCCATTCAGGAGCACAAAGCTGCAGATGACATAGCATAGAATGACTGGAAAAGTAAGTTAGGTGCAACTCCAGCTCACTGCTGCCTCCAGCCACAGCTTGCTCCTCTATGCCTTGCGCCTGTCTGAGTTTTCAAAGTAAAACTCATGACACGGATACAGCAGCAAACTCCTGACTTTGGGGTTGGTGATGAAGTGGATCTGCTCATGAGGGTGCCTGTGGCTGCCAAAGCCAGGAGAGGTAAGTGGCAAGGTGCCAGGCAACACTCCAAGCAGCAACAGGCCCGCAGGCAAACTCCAAACTTCAACCTCATACCTTTAAAAACGGCTGCACCTATTTTTCATGATAGAAGGCTCACATTGCATCTCCAGTTTCACAGCAGCCCACAATACAGTTTGTATTGTGCGTCATTTTCACACAGACCCACAACACAATACAACCATAAGACCTTAAAAAACTCCACAGAACTTCCAACTTCAAGCTGGAAAGTGGCAGAAGCCATCCAAGTTTGAAACTATTAGAGGATTTTTATCAGCTTTTCCAGCGCCTACAAGCAAAGTGTTTAAAAATGCAATTTGGTAAACATACGAAGCCTGACGCAGCTATAAATCCTAACCTGCGTCTGAGGCGTCAGCTTTCTAGAAGGAAACTTCGTTCCATACAAAGTGAGTTAGGAGAGCACTCCACCACATGCTGAGTCAGACGTCCCAATGCACCCATCGTGCAGCTGTCACCATCTTACACAGGCTCACAGAACCTGACATCAGCTAGTTTCTGATCCAGTCAAAGTGTGCTGGCTGAACAGCAGCCCACCCTACTTCAACGCAAGGAATCTAAATTTAGCAGAGTATCAGTGAGCCCTCACGTCCTTGCTGGCACGTTATCTGGAGAGCCAGACTGCCCTGGCAGGGAGCAAGTAAGGAGAAAGCCCTGTGGTTCGGCCTGCTGCTGCTTCACTCCAAAACAGGCTTGGGCTGTGCACGGCTGCAGGAGCAGAAGAAATAGCTTTTCTACTCATCACTTGCTCCAGCCCCCACTCCCATCAGTTCACAGTGTCTCTGTGGGGAGCACAGGTGCCTTCCACTTTCCTGAGCCATTCACTTCACACTTCCTCACCCTGACTGGTGTTGGAGGGCACAGCCCCCATTAGTTCTCTTTTGAATCTGTTTATACATCTGCTGCCTGTGAACTTGCCTAATCCTTTTGTGAACCCTCAGATATTCTTTACCTCCAGCCTCCTCTGACAGATCACCTATATGGTGAATAGAGTTATCTGCTTTAACTTATCTGTTTCACCAGGTGCCCTCACCCCAAAACAAAGTCCCAGCTTTTCTGGTCTCTTGGGAGGTGTAGGCAACTGATACACCTCACCTCGATCACTTGAGAGTAAGGTGGGCAGCTCTCTCTCCATACATCCTTCTGCAGATTCACAAATCAAATTCCTACTGGGGACTCCAAATGTGGGTGCACAAGAGCTCTGAACAACAACAGTAGCAAGAGAACACAACTGTACCACTCTCAACTCTAGCACTAGTTGCAATTGTCAATTCCAAGTCTTACCTCACGGAGTTTACTTGTTCTTATCTATGTTAGGGGAAAATCATATGCTACTATTTTTTTTCCACAAGCCCAGGCCAATGAGGTCTTTCTGGAGATTCTCAGCGTGAGTTTCCAATCCTGAAAAACCTGAAGCTTTGACATCTCAATAACTTCTCCAGACAACTCCTGAACATGTGAAGTGGAACTGCTCCTCCGAGTGATGCTTGGCAAACCAGATCTGAACTTGTTTCCACCCTAAAGAGTGACCACAAAGTCCAACGTGTGTCTTCAAGTCCCTCCTTCGGTGCCAATCTAACGGCAACAACTTAGGTTCAGCTAAGCAGTCCTCTGAGCTCTCCTGTTCCCTTCCTGTGAAATCAGCAGTTCTGGAGATCTTGGGGTTCTGCAGACTGGGGGCAAGCCTAGAATCCCACCACAGTAATCAAATCCTGGAGAAACTGCCAGTGCTTGCAACGTGCACACTGTCTCATTGAAGTGAGAGTAGTAATAATCAAATGCCAACTCAGCCAAAAACCGATCTACAGACAGCTGCAGGCACATTTCACTTAAGCAATTTCCCTTTATTTGCATTTGAAAATTTTATTTGAGAAAAAATAAATTCTCCTATACAGGACTGATTAGAGAAAATTATATAGAGGAACAGTTATATTCAAATCTTAAATCTCTAAACTTTGGGTGAGAAAAATTCAAGAGCTACCTGGCTTGTTTTCTCCAGGTTTACAGTTTTGCTTAATTGTCTTTGGGCAGGGACTGTTTCTGCTTGCAAGACTCAAGATCTGCGTGTACACGAGGTGCTTGGTAAATAACTCTACTATTTATAGGGCACCACCCTTGCATACAAGATTAATTATCTACTGTTTTCCAGGCACACTGACTCAGAGTGAATAGAAGATACCTTAACATCAGCACATTAAAGATTGTGATGTATAATATTTTTTTATCTGTTTTAATGATTTTAAGAGCTACAAAGTAGAAGGCTACCATACCATGCAGTTGCAAGATACTGATGCTTACCAGCAGTGTCAGCTTAAGAAATTCCTTCCTCCCTTCCCCAACCCTCCAGCAGCTTCTCTTTGCTGCCTTGGGGCTGAAAACTGCCTGCTGAGCCTATAAGAAGTTACTTGCTAATTTGCAGCATGGCCATACCTCAGCACAAGTTATGCTAAGGAATTAAAGAAGAAAAAGTGTTTAGACAGAAAGACTATATGCACTGATAAAACTGATTACATTATTACAGACACCTGTATCACCAACACTGAGGATTATTCCTTACGTACACATTCCAACCATCAAATCAGTCATATCATGCTTCCCAATTACTGTAAGGATTGAAAAATCATAGTAGCCAGCCAGTCCTTGTTTTAATGAAGTTCAGAGAGCTAACTCTGATCTCCAAATGCTTAATATATTAAGAAAATCATGTTGTGAGTTGGCAAAGCCATTTTAATGCAGAGATATGAAGATACAACTTTATCTTTGGCAACTGCTCTTGGAATTACATAATTGGCTTCTGGGCTTTTATTTATTAATTAATTTATTTTTATTTTAAATACACAACCTCATCACATCATCGGGACAGTAAGCTGGAAAACCCAGAACAGTGACAAAACTTAATGTATGACATACTAATATACAGTAAGGACTTGTTTACTATGAAAAATCTAGAGACTCTGTGCCAATAATCATAATAGGAGTGCTTCACGAAGATAAATACAGAGGTATTTGTATTTGCCATAAGAGTTTATTACTCTCCTTTTACTAACAGTAATATGCAAAGATCATAATCAGCACTATTTGGTTGCTTTGGGCATCAAACGTGAAAAGTCCCAGTTCTGATTTAACTAACACCAATACTTCCTGCTTCTTTCACAGGGAGAAAGACTAGCTCACAGCACGCTTCAAGCTAAGCAGAGCCTACTGTCAGCGTACACTGCAATGCCTGCTGCAAGCAGACCTGCCAGCACTGGCAGCAGCAGCGGTACTGGGGCAAGGCAAGAAAGAAGAGCCTGCAGTTGCACAGAGGTAATGAATGGGTGATCTTGGCTTCAGACCCTTGGTGCGATGCCCCCAGTGTCTGAGTAAAATCAGCACTGGAGCAGGGAAAACAACCATGGCTCAGAAAGTGGAACCATCACTCATAGGGAAGCTGGCAAACAGACCCACTTGGATAATAAAGTTGTACTTTTGCTACATGGCCATCAATTGCTTCATAGCTAATTGTTCCTGAAAGAGGAAGGTCTAGCTCCTTTCTCTTCCCACTCCCAGGATTCAGTTCCTCCCAGCACTTGTGGATCTCTTCCTTAACCTCAGTCAGCTCACTAACCCCAAGCAAGGCACCCTGAAAAAAATAAACAAAAAACAAAAAACCCACGCATGTTACACAGGTAGTTTTCTGCAATGAAAAGAAATGGTGCCACGAACCTTCGACCAGCTCAAGCTACCTCCATTTTACTCCAGATATTCAACTCAGTTATGCGATTATCTGTACAGGGTGCCAGTAAGGTGCTAGCCTTAGATCAACTCCATGGCAAGGGTGGGAATAATCTCATTTGTCAAGACAGTATTTAACTGCCCTCAGCTTTTCCTGCAGTCCTATGTCTCATCAACCACAACCTTCTGACATCTGAAACAGGATACACATCCTAGCCACCTTCATACCAGATATCTGATTTATCCAGGGCATGGTCCATCCTGTGCATTAGACAAGTTAAGAAATCTGTGGGAAGATAATGGAGCAATAGCACTGGAAGGAAAAAAAGAAATAATCCATTTTTTGCATCTGAGAGTGGATTTGCTGGTTTGGCCATAGTAGTACTCACACTCAGCATGGCAATCGCCCTTCTCCCTAGATCAGTTTCTCTCTGATGACACAAGCCCTCATACCAACAACCTGAGCAGGTAGGGTAGCCAAGCAAAGGACAAGAATGGCAAGAAGGACTTCTGGTTTTCTTTAGCAGCTGGCCCGGCTTAAACACACAGCGAAAGACTGCAGTGTCCTTCCGACAAGGCAGTAAGGCAGCAAGGCAACATGTATCCAACAGTTTGCAACAGAAACAGTGGCGTAAGCACTGCTTAAATGGAGCCAGTCATCTCCATTTCCTCTCCACCACGTGGAGCCTGTTGTCTTTCCTGGAGGTACAAGCACTTCATATCACAGTGTTCTTAACTCACACCTGTCACGCAGTGTCCCTCTTCTACTCATCTACTTCATAGTAACTGTATGGAATTAGGTTGTTTTTTTTTCCCCACTGACAGACTTGTTCCAAATCAGACTTGTAACTTTCTGACAAGGGAAAAAACATTCGGAGTGGTATCTCCCAGTCCACACTGCTACACAAAATCTGGGTTAAAAGAGCTTGTGAAGATGCAAATGTATTTATAATGAATAACTGCATAGCTTTAATCAATTAACTCTGCGTTATTAATTGCACTGTCTTAAGAGATAAGAAATCTTAGATTTCAAGAAATCAAACCACAACACATACAGAATGCATCATCAACCCTTAGTACGTTTAGATGGGCAACAGAGGCAAAAACGTAGAGACCTCACCTAGGCACTTCCCTTCTTTTGCACAGAACTCCCTTGCAGTGTGTACAGTGGTATCAAGTGTTCCAGTACAAAATATTTATTTGCCAAGAGCAGAACAGACTGGATGGGGCATTCCCAGATAAAACTATAGGGTCTGGAAGTGCCCTGAAGTAACTGGACTCTTTTGGACTCCCATTCTTAAGCAGTCACCCACCTATGCAGACTGTTGGACTCTAGTATCCATTCCCCCCACTCTGCACACTTGCATCTAAATCCCAGCACAACTCATGGCATATGAACATTACAGCTGTGACAAGACTAATGCTATGTCCACCTTCAAGCTGAACAATAAGAAAGCAAAAAGAAAAAACCTGAGAGATTTGACCCTTCTAAAAGCATGAAGTGCATTCTCATTCCAAGTAGGACGTCACTGGCGATCTCTGAAAGTCTCAAGCTTTTAAACAGAAAGTCATTTCCTAACCCCAAGCCCTAGGTGTCAAAGATACATGTGAGCTATGGGGAATTTCAGCCCTGGTAAATGAAATACAGCAGCTTTCTGTGACTTCAGTTGCTCGGAGTGAGGGAACATCAGACAAACATGCATTTCATATGCTTACTAACTCCAGAATTGCTGCAGCTGGAACATCCAAATGACGAATAAAAACTTAAATGGCAAGACAGATTTGTAAAAGTCAGAACTATCCTTCAACTTCAGAAACTGAGATTTTAGAGGCAGACAGAAAGAAAGAAAGAAAAGAAGAAACTTGCTTAAACAGCATGCAGAAGAAAATAGAGATCTCTAGTTGCTTTCATCTGGAGAAACACAGCTAGGACATGACTGTAGAAGGTGATGTTCCTTCTGCAAAAAAACTTTTATCAGCTGCAGACACAACTGTCCACACGACTCTGCAGAAACTGCTCAATACAGCATTCCCTAATCTGCTTCAGAAGCAGTCAGCAGATTAGGACATGTCACCACCTGCAAGAGTGAAATTATACACTGTCACCAAGCAGTGAGAAGCTCCACAGCAATACGACTGTTTCTGTTATACCTGTTCTCTTTATATCACTTTGCACAGAAGATGCATCTGCATACTATAACTTGAGGTAACCTAATCAGGTAGATGCCTCCAAAACACAGAGGCTGTATTTGTAGCACTCACTCTGGCCATATGTCCTTCTATCAAATCAGCTCTCAAAGCTCTTATATTTTTCCATCCAGAACTACTTTGGCAGGAGAAAAAAAAAAAAAAAATGAAAAAAGAAAAAAAAAAGGACAAATAAATAAGGTTGTTCAGAACAGTTCCAAGGACAGCACAAGGGCCAGGGAGGCAATGCACCATGGCCATGAGAGCTGTTCTGTGCCAAGCCAAGCGCTCATGTTCTCCAGGGGTTTCTAGTAGCACAGCCATGACCCTTTGGGATGTGCTATGCAAGGCTGTGCTACACTGCTCCTGTGCATCCTCAGAAATGTACACACTGCACTCTGCATTCCCCACTGCTCAGCCAGGGCAGCAGCTGCATGGCACGGCTGTGGCTCTAAAGGCAATATGCAGCAACCACCAGTACCAAAGTACCAGTACCAAAGAAACTGCCTGCAGAACAGAAGCTGATTAACAAACGAGTAGTCATGCTTTAAGTTCACACTGTCACAGATGATGCTCAAGTACTGCAAGCCATGCTGCTCAGTATTGTCAGAACAAAGCTAAACATCCTCCAGCATGTGGATTCAGTCTCCCCCTCCAAAGGCGTGCAGGAAACCTGCCCTCACTACAACAACCTGCACAGATCAGAAAGCACTGTTTCAGCTCTGTGCTTCTGCAGATGAAGGAGAAGTTGGATTTAAAGATTTAAGAGTACACCGTAAAGCAAGCTAAGAAAATTCTTAGAAAAGTAATAATATAGCACAAGTACTTTACAGATAGTGCTGGAACCTGAACGTGAAGCAACCTAGTGTACAGAGCCTGCTTACAGGCTGCCCAAGTTCTACAAGTGATGGCTAAGTAGGTCATTTGAGGGTTATCATGATTCCGCACTTCTACATACTGTTTGAAGAATTACTTGTGATGTACAGATAAGATCTTTCTGCACAGAGCAAAGGCAACAGCAAAACTGTGGGTCATCTTTCCTGCATTCACTTAATAACATCCTCCCCTTTTCAGCAACGCTGATTGCAAGCCTTCGTTATAATTTCTTTAGTAAGAGCTGAAATGGGTCAGTGATGCAAGAGAACACAAAGCTGGTGAGAAGAACTGAACTGCCAGCTGCAGACCATGTGCTCTGCCCTCCTTAGGCACTGCAAGGACATAAAACAGCTATTTTCAACTGGATTTATTTAAAATACAGACAACAGAAGCTGATAATGTCTTCTCTCTTCCCCATTCCTCTCACCTGAAGCAGAGATTCCTAACAGAAAAACAACGACCCCTTCAGAATCTCTCAAATATAGACTGAGAACTGCTTCCTGAATAGTGCCACAGGAGATTTTGAACACTGTGGAAGTGAGAAGACTATAGTTCAGTTCATCAGCTTAAAGGATGACCATTTTTAAACGTAAAAGTTCTAGAGACTGCAGTACCAAGGGCTGAAGTTTTACACTCTCCACGTTACTGTCACTGGCCACTGTTCCAGTGGCACACACTGACTCCTGCAGGATCAACTGAGAGAAAGCAGATCTGCAGAACAAGCTAGAGGTCCATTTAGTGAAGTTATGGAAATGATGAAATAGTGACATAGGAACAAGAATTTCATTTATTTTCGTGATCTTCATCATCACACACAGTTCTGTATTCACTTGACAACACCTTGATGATTATGCATTCATTTTCTGACTCGGAAATGGATTTACTTTAGAAAGAAAGAAAAAAGAAAAAAAAAAAGAAAAAAAAAGAAAAAAAAGCCTAGGCAGGTAATTGATTGAAGTTGTTTCACAGATCAGAATTACACAGTTCTCCATAACAGAACACAGGTTCACTACCACCGGTGCACGCCCGACCTGCCCTAAGTTCCTCACACGCAGAGCTGCCTAGCTCCCAACTGCAGCACCGCACGCACGGCTCCTACCGGGCGCACGAGCCTCGGGGACCCCATCCCTGACGGCACCGTGAACTATTCTGCGCACGAAGTTGAACTCCTCGCTGCCCGCAGCCTGGCACCCTTCATCTCATCGCACCGGCTGCGGGAAAGCAGCCCTTTCCAGGCGCACCGAGTTCAACCCCGAATCATCCCCGCACGTCGGTTTCAACGGCCGAACGCCGCAGCGCTGCCGGCAGCCACCACCCAGCGTCGGGAGCCGCAGCCCGGCGCGGGCGCCCGGCGGGGCGGGCGGTGCGAGCAGCCGGCACCCGCAGCGCTCGCTGTGACTCACGGCGTGCGGGAGGTGCGGGCGGAGAGCGGCGGAGCGAACCGAGCGGAGGCGAGATCGCCGCGCGGCTCCCGCTGGCCCCGCACCCCGCCGCGGGACCCGGCAGCCCTCACCTTGCGGTTCTGGTAGCTCTCCAGCGCCCGCACGGCGGTCTCGGTCAGCTTGACGTGCAGCACCGAGACGTTGTCCGCCGCTTTCCCGCAGGACACGGCGTAGCGGCCCCCCTCCTGCAGCGACGCCATCTTACGCGCCCCTTTTCTTCCTCCTCCGCGGCCTGCCGCCCCGCCGCCGCCGCCGCCGCCGCCCCGCTACTGCCGTCTCCGCCGCCGCCGCCGCCTCCCGCCGCCGCCTCCGGCCGCCGCCGCCGTCGCTACAGCCATCGCGGCGCGGACGTGACGCCGCCCGCCCCGCGCCACGCCCCGCCCTCCGGCAGCGCCCATTGGCCGAGGTGCGGCGCCCGGGCGCGGCGCGTTGTAACGTCACGGGCGGCGCTCCACGTGCGCGCGCGTTGCGAGGCGGCGCTGGAAGGGTTAACGCCGTGCTCTGCGCTGCTCCCTCGCGGCGCTCCAAGTGTTTGATGGAATCCCCTTGCGCCTTCTCCGGCTCCACCATTTCCTAAAAAGAGGCAAACCAACAGAACGCGGAGGAACTTGGATGTGCTCTGCAGAGAAAAAGCCGGCAGTTGGTTTGGCGCTGACCGAAATTACACTCTGACAGCTAACTGCAGGTTGCCATCTGAGTCACTTAAGTGCACGAAAAGACATCTTACAGGCAGCTGAAAACAGCTTTACTTTCTTTGACCCCATTTCCAGTCTTATTCCTGCTCATCTCCATCGGCAAGCACTAAGAAGCCAAACTTGTCCTGTCTTTGAGGGGTTGGGTTTAAAACCAAATATGTTGTCTGTCATCTTCAAGGGCATGCATTTTCACAACAAGAATTCACAAATTCATTTTTATTTGAAGACCATATATATCCTTTTCTGTCCCAGCCTGGTCTCCTGGCTAACACACGTGATGGCTCTCAAATTCCATCCTCATCTCCAGTAGTTCTGTTCTTTTATTCTCTGCTCCTTGTCAGAATTACAGAATATCCCGAGTTGGAATGGACCCACAAGGATCACAGGGTCCAAATCAGCCCCACACAGCACCACCCAAAATCAAACCCTGTGTCTGAGAGCAGTGTCCAAACACTCCTTTAATTCCAGCACTGGGGCCATGCCCCCCGCCCTGTGCATCCCATTCCATGCCCACCGCCCTGTGGCGCAGACCCTTTCCCTGACCCCCAGCTCCCCTCCCCTGATGCAGCTCCATGCCGTTCCCTCGGGCCCTGTGGCTGTCACACAGAGCAGAGCTCAGCGCTGCCCCCCGCTCCCTGTCAGGAGCTGTAGGTTGTGATGAAGTTCCTGTTCCTTGCATACTATACTAAAATACCTTCACGTATCCACATACACCATACACACCTCACACATCCCATTTCCCTCCGGCTATTTCTTAATACACCTTTTCAGCTTTTCCTTTTTCTGAAGATTATTCCCTGGCCAAAATAAGCAAAGGAAATGTGGAATAATAAGAAAGCTAATGATAACACCATCTCTTGACCGTGTAATGTGTGGCTCCATCCGTACTGTCATTCCTCATTTAGGGATGGCTTACTAAGTCCTATAATTTGTATAGGTTTAGGTGTGTCTCTGCATTGCCCTGTTGAAATCAAGGTTGCCTCTGTGTGATTCTTTGCAAGACTGGTTCTCTGGCATGTAAATCTTCCTTAGCATGACTGCATTATTATATAAATAATAATACCAGTAGGATACAGAGAGCAGACATCAGAGGCGCCTTCAAAACAGCTCAGCACAGAGTCTTGACATTATGCACTGAGATACATCTCACGAAGCCAAAATGCATGCACCATGGGGTAGTGCAAAGTCTTTATAGAGAAGAGAAGGTAGAAGGAAAAATGTTTTGTTTTGTTTTGTTTTTCTGAGTGTATTGAATAGAGTTCATGCATTTGGTAAGTCAAAGCATCCATCCAAGTTCTCTCTTCCTTAGCACACAGTTACACAATATGAAATGGGGCATTTCTGGTCAGTCAGCTAGCATAGAACTTGATCCCTGCTCCTGTTATTATCAGGATCAAAGTTAGCACAATATGAGTGGGTACAATATGAAACTTAGGAAAATAATGAAAAACACACCAGACTGATAACTGAACCAAAGCTTGCTTCCTTGTTTTGCAAAGTGAGATTGTTCACCCTTGTTCCTGAAAACAGTCCCTAGAAGAAAACCTTGTGCATGTCTCAGTTAAGCCAACAGTCTCACATTCTCTGTGCTGCAGGTTTTTGGATTCATCTATATATGGAAGAACCCATGGTCCTGCCAATGCATCATGAAGTTGCATCTGTGTAATTAGATGTATGATTGCATGCTGAGCTGCTTAAGCTGGCACAGCTTTGTAAGTTGACACCTTCAGGCTAATAACAGGTTTCCTTTTGCAGCAAATTGTTGCAGCTTTTTTTAAATTCACTTTGCAAAAGTGAATTAAGATACATGGCCCAAACTGCTTCAGTGGTGGATGATAATTGAAATAATTTCTTCCACTGGCACAGGTAGATAGGGAAGAAAGCATTTTTTTTCTCTCATTTAAAGTTCCAACTCCATGTTCAGATGAGCTTTTAGATTTGTGCAGTTTCTAGATTTTCTGATAACTATTTTTTTTTTCAACTGCATTTTGAATGAGTCAAGGCAATAAATCTAACTTAATGTTCAGACGTGTAGCTATTGTTTTTGTTTTTGTTTTGCTGATAGTTGCCTTGTGTATCTAGAGGCCAACACCTGCAGGTAAGGTTTCATATGTTTTATTGCCGATTGAAGTGGAAAAGGATCGTGCATGAAAGAAAGAAGGTAATTATGCTGATTATTTTTTTGTATTGTTCCCTCTTCTGTGGCCTGTTTGCCCTAGAAGTACTGCTTGGAGAAAGGAGCTGTAAAATAAGAAGCTTGGTAGCTGGGCAACAGAGTAATTCATCCATTGCCTATTGAGGTGTGGCAGGCTAGCATCTATGCCAAAATATGTGGGGGGATATGGAAAAAAAAAAGATATTCAGAGGTGTACAATTATACTCATAGAAAATATAACAACCCAAGAGAAATGATAGATAAAAGCGGTGTGTTCTCATTCCTTCTAGTGCTTTTTCCTGTCTTTCATTCAGTACTGAACTGAGCCAAAGCACTTTTCATTTTTTCAGAGCTGCAGCACATTTATACACACACACGCCCAATTAAAGAGCAAGCATTAGCAGCAGGACTAGGGCATGCAGGGCTTCAGCTTCCGTGCTGCTGCCACACTTGTTTTACTTGACAGACGGTAGGGATCTGGCTGGAAGTGCAGAGATGCTGTTGCCAAAAGTGTGTATGGCATAGCCTCCTGTTAAGAAAGAGGAAGGAGGTGGTAACACACAGGCAGGACATCTGTGTGCACTTCCAGCAGGGCTTGCTGGCAGTTCTCACCCAGCTTTGGGCTTTTGGGGAGTTTCTTTCTTCTGCCTGGTTGAGGCAGCCACTGCAGCCACAGCTCAGATGGTGCATGCTCTTACTGCTGGGCATGGTTGTAACTAATGCTTCCAAGGGAAGGAGGGATAAACACCATCTCCATTCTGAAGATGCTGACTCCTTTATGCTTCCCATGTCACCAGCTGCATTGTCATCACACTTGTTTCTTCCTTCCTCTTACAGTATTTTTCATAGTTTGTTATTCATGACTATGTGATGACATCAAATTCAAAACCCACTGAAGCATGAGGACTACTTGGGTAAAACAGGATTCCTGAAGTTCTTTTGGCTAGCACTTACTCTAATGAGTATGCTTATAAAATTAAAGCAGCCAGTGTTTGGAGAAACAGCCAATTAATGTTGGAAAAGCAGCCACTTGTATTATTTGTTCCTTCTTGAACGTGCCCTGAGCTCTCTGTAACTGGTGAAGCAGTGAAGGCTGTGGTGGTAACTCATGCTGCTGGAGGAGTGATGAGTGATGTGGCCATACTCTGTGGTCTGCTGAGAAAAGCCTCCATTTCCTCAGCATGCAGCTTAAAAATATACTTCCAGCAACAGTGGGAACAAAATCCTTCAATGTCCATATGAAGTGATAACTTAGTTTTTGGTAGTTTTCAACAGGAAGGTAGTTATAAAATAAGAATCTCAACATATTTCTTTAAAATTCAGTATCTTAATTGAATTGATTTGCAACACTGATTTTCTAATCTTCTTAACCACCGGTCTAGTTCTTGCATTCCACTTATAAAAATGTTGTCTGCTGAACAATCTTTGCCAAATTACATGCTTCCTATCCCTTGTCAGCGCCACAGCTGGTGTTATATGTCCTCTATATACACAGTTCCTGTACGTTCCTAGTTTTTCACATAGCTTTCTGATAAGTTTGTGTAGTGCTAAGGTTGAACTAGTCTCATTTGAGCTTCTGTTTTCCCAAAACTGTTGAAAATATACTGGAGCTGAAAACTGTTTAGCAGTAACTTTAATCTGTGTCTCTTCCTCCTGAAGTTCTGCAGAAATGTGAAATGGAGATACACCTGCAAAATGTATGCTCCCACTTTTCTTGACTCCTGTGATATTCCCTGCCACTACATATACAATTTATTCTGCTTAAAGGAAAAAAACAAAACAAACAAATAAACAACAACAACAGCAACAACAACTGAACAGGACTGTGCAAAGAGCTAGTTGGGTAAATTCTGTCTTATATGCCAGCAATGTTATGTGAGAAGTAGGATACACCTACTGCATGCAGCACCTCATTTTAGTGGAAGTCCCACAGCTGTGATATGTTTTAAATTCTGCTGAATAACGTGGAGTTGCTAAGGTAACCAAGATTTGGATGAAGAGGTTGGAAAATGAATCAGACAGTATACACT